TGTTAAGGAAAAAGTTACTTCAAATGACCTCAGGAATCATCTCTTTCCGAGTGTTGACATAATTGTGGGACACCCTGTATAGCGGTAATGACATCGATCCTAACGATCCTAATTACATAGTTCAGTATCGAAATTTATAGAAATGGACTCAGCCCCGCTGTTCAACTGTTAAGGTCTGTTTAAATATACATGTTTCTTTGTACCATACAAATGAATGGAAAAGGTCTGGTAATAATTTATAACATTTCTAGACATTTGCATTTCATTCGTACGATTTAAAAGGGTCTGGTAACAATTTATAACATTTCTAAATATTTATATTTCATTCGTATGATTTAAAAGGGTCTAATAATAATTGATAACGTTTCTAAACATTTATATTTAATTCGTACGATTTAAAAGGATCTAGTAATAATTGATAACGTTTCTAAACATTTATATTTAATTCGTACGATTTAAAAGGGTCTAATAATAATTGATAACGTTTCTAAACATTTATATTTAATTCGTACGATTTAAAAGGGTCTAATAATAATTGATAACGTTTCTAAACATTTATATTTCATTCGTACGATTTAAAAGGATCTAGTAATAATTTATAACATTTCTAAACATCTATATTTCATTCGTACGATTTAAAAGGGTCTAGTAATAATTTATAACATTTCTAAACATCTATATTTCATTCGTACGATTTAAAAGGGTCTAGTAATAATTTATAACATTTCTAAACATCTATATTTCATTCGTACGATTTAAAAGGGTCTAGTAATAATTTATAACATTTCTAAACATCTATATTTCATTCGTACGATTTAAAAGGGTCTAGTAATAATTTATAACATTTCTAAACATCTATATTTCATTCGTACGATTTAAAAGGGTCTAGTAATAATTTATAACATTTCTAAACATCTATATTTCATTCGTACGATTTAAAAGGGTCTAGTAATAATTTATAACATTTCTAAACATCTATATTTCATTCGTACGATTTAAAAGGGTCTAGTAATAATTTATAACATTTCTAAACATCTATATTTCATTCGTACGATTTAAAAGGGTCTAGTAATAATTTATAACATTTCTAAACATCTATATTTCATTCGTACGATTTAAAAGGGTCTAGTAATAATTTATAACATTTCTAAACATCTATATTTCATTCGTACGATTTAAAAGGGTCTAGTAATAATTTATAACATTTCTAAACATCTATATTTCATTCGTACGATTTAAAAGGGTCTAGTAATAATTTATAACATTTCTAAACATCTATATTTCATTCGTACGATTTAAAAGGGTCTAGTAATAATTTATAACATTTCTAAACATCTATATTTCATTCGTACGATTTAAAAGGGTCTAGTAATAATTTATAACATTTCTAAACATCTATATTTCATTCGTACGATTTAAAAGGGTCTAGTAATAATTTATAACATTTCTAAACATCTATATTTCATTCGTACGATTTAAAAGGGTCTAGTAATAATTTATAACATTTCTAAACATCTATATTTCATTCGTACGATTTAAAAGGGTCTAGTAATAATTTATAACATTTCTAAACATCTATATTTCATTCGTACGATTTAAAAGGGTCTAGTAATAATTTATAACATTTCTAAACATCTATATTTCATTCGTACGATTTAAAAGGGTCTAGTAATAATTTATAACATTTCTAAACATCTATATTTCATTCGTACGATTTAAAAGGGTCTAGTAATAATTTATAACATTTCTAAACATCTATATTTCATTCGTACGATTTAAAAGGGTCTAGTAATAATTTATAACATTTCTAAACATCTATATTTCATTCGTACGATTTAAAAGGGTCTAGTAATAATTTATAACATTTCTAAACATCTATATTTCATTCGTACGATTTAAAAGGGTCTAGTAATAATTTATAACATTTCTAAACATCTATATTTCATTCGTACGATTTAAAAGGGTCTAGTAATAATTTATAACATTTCTAAACATCTATATTTAATTCGTACGATTTAAAAAGGTCTAGTAATAATTGATAACATTTCTAAACATTTATATTTCATTCGTACGATTTAAAACTGTCCAGTAACAATTTATAACATCTCAAAACGTTTGTATTGCATTCGTACGATCCAAAAGGGTCCGAATAATAATAATAAATGCAAGAGAAACAGCAATCGCGGCCGGAGTCGTTTTCTCTATCGAGGTCGGCTCGCGGTCCGGGAATTTGCGGAATCGACGATGGAATTCCAGGGCGATTTTATGAGATGTTAATAGGGCACCGGTTTCGGCTTCGGAAAATTTCCGGGTTTCCAGCGAGACGGGGGATGGGGGCCGCGGCAAAGTTCTCGCGAAATTCCGCAAAGGGAATTCCTACCCTTCGTGTAACCGTGGTCGCGGTTTCACGGAGAAATACTTGCTTTCTACGGAACTCTCTCTGTGTGCCTGGAAATGTACTGAATTATTCGGCGCGTGGGCTACGAAACGACCACCGCCGCCGCGTCGGTTCGTCTATATTTTACAGTCGGAATGAAGCGCCAGTCTCTTTGCTCCCGATTGCTACCGGAAATATCGCGTTTCGAGCATAAACAGCCCCGAACGCGTTCCTCAGCCCGCCACATTATTGCGCGATTACTTCCAACGGTTCCAACCCTTCCGAAACTTCGATTACATTCTGCCGAATTTTTGGACTCGGCCAAGCACGTTCACGACTAGTGAATATTTATTCATTTATTTATTCATTTATTTATTCATTCACTTATTTATTCATTTATTTATTCATTCACTTATTTATTCATTTATTTATTCATTCACTTATTTATTCATTCATTTATTCGTCCATTTATTGATTTATTACTTCATTTATTTACTTACTCCTTAATTTTTTTAATATTATACATCTTTTTTTTGACACATTAGTCAATACAGTCTGACATGTTTTATGAAAAATTATCGAGAGCTGCATGAAGAAGAAGCTCGATAATTTTGTTTCGGATAAATAAATTTCGAGAAAAAGTTGTTAAACGAATCCAAACAATTTGTTCAATTCTACAAAATTACATAAAACAGCTTCCGCTCTTGTGCTATTATTTAAACTATCATTGTATACCTCTGCTGAATTTCGATTTTAATAAATGAACAAGTAATCCGCCGTTACGTAAAGTCTTCGATGAAAAGAATTTCCACATCGAGGAAGATGTTCTCGGCACTTTGAAAAGTCTTCAAAGCCATCAGAAAGAACCGACTGTTTGTTCCAGCGTGAAATTGTTGGGGAAAATTTGCAATCGGACTATATTACTACAGTCACGGTAACTCTGAAACGAGTCCTCGAACGCTCCCCTCGACTACTGTATTTCATTCCCATCGAGCGACCTTAATCGAATCGCCCACGCTTCCACCCCAAGACAATTTCCCGGAAAACTCGGCTGTTCGGATAGGGATTGAAAAGCAACGATCGTTGGGTTACTAGGCTCTGGGGTGGTTTTACCCTCGGGACCAGATTCCGTTTTCCTTGTTATTAATCCCCTCGCCCCACTACCCCACAAAACCGTTCCGTAATGATTTTTAGGTCGTGGGAGACGACACGCTCGCTGTGCACTCTTTCCCAGGTCGTGCGAGTTCAATTTTTGTCATATTCTGTTATGTTTAGAAGTTTTCTAGATTCTGCTGTACTTAGATGTTATTTAAATTTTATTAGATTTAGAAATTATTTAAACTCTGTTACGTTGAGAAATTATTTAAATTCTGTCATATGTAAAAATATCTAACTTTTGTTATTTAAGGAAATATCTAAATTCTGCTATGTTAAGGAGAGAATTATCTGAATTTTATTATAATTAGGAATTATATAAATTCTGTTATATTTAGAAATTATCTGAATTTTGTTACAGTATGAAATTATGTAAATTTTATTATATTTAAAAATTACCTAAATTCTGTTATATTTAAAATATATCTAAA